ATTCCTGACCTCAGGTGATCTGCCCGCCTTGGCTTCCCAAAGTGCTGGGATTACAGGTATGAGCCACTGCACCCTGCTGTAGAGCTGTTAACAATGCCAGTGCAATAGTTTCAGAAGAGCAAACCCTTTGAACTTTGATAGCCCAGTAATGCTGATCAGCATATTAGTTGCACAGTGTGCTGTAGTTTGAATGTTTTTGTCCCCTTCAAAAATTCATGTTGAAAATGCAACAGTGTTAGGAGGTGGGACCTAAAAGATGTTTAGGTCACAGGTGCACTGCCCTCATGAACAAATTAATGTGACTATATAAAGGGCTTGTGGGAGTAGATTTACTCTCTTCTGCTCTTCTCCTACATGAGGCCACAGCAAGAAGGCCCTCACTCAACACCAGCTGTAGGTGCCCTGATTTTGAGCTTCCCAGCCTCCAGACTACGAAAAAAAAAAAAAAAAAAAAAACTTCTCTTCCTAATAAATTACCCAATCCTGGCCAGGCACGGTGGCTCATGCCTGTAATCCCAGCACTTTGGGAGGCTGAGGCAGGCAGATCACTTGAGGTCAGGCGTTCGAGACCAGTATAGCCAACATGGCAAAACCCTCTCTCTACTAAAAATACAAAAAATTGGCTGGGTGTCGTGGCACACGCCCATAGTCCCAGCTGCTTAGGAGGGTAAGGCACGAAAATTGGTTGAACCTGGTAGGCAGAGGTTGCAGTGAGCCAAGATCATGCCACTGTACTCTGGCCTGGGCAATGGAGCAAGACACAGTCTCCGAAAAAAAAAAAAAGAAAAAAAATTAGTGAGTCTCAGATATTCTGTTGTAGCAGCACAAAATGGACTAAGACAGAAACTGATACCAGAAGAGTGAGGTGTTGTTATAACAAAGACCTAAACATGTAAACATGTGGAAGTGGCTTTCAACAGTTGTGAAGTGAATGGTGAATAAAAAGCTTGTATTGGCTGGGCGAGGTGGGTCACGCCTGTAATCCCAGCACTTTGGGAGGCCGAGGTGGGCAGATCACGAGGTCAGGAGATCGAGACCATCCTGGCCAACACGGTGAAATCCTGTCTCTATANAAAAAAAAAAAAAAAAAAAAAAGAAAAGAAAAGAAAAGAAAGAATGAACTTAAGATAAACAGCAATAAAAACCAATTCAAATATAGAAAAAAAGACTTGAATAATATCACCAAAGAAGATATACAGATGGCCAATAAATACACGAAAAGATGCTCAGCAACACTAAACATCATGAAAATGAAAATCAAAATCAGGCTGGATGTGATGGCTCACACCTGTGATCCCAGCACTTTGGGAGGCTGAGGTCAGGGAGATTCCTTGAGACTAGGAGTTCAAGACCAGCCAGGGCATATGGTGAAATTTCATCTTTGCAAAAAGAAGTTTAAATTCAGCCAAGCATGGTGGTGGCATGTACCTGTAATCCCTGCTACCTGAGAAGCTGAGGTGGTAGGATTAACTGAGCCTAGTAGGTTGAGGGCTGCAGTGAGCCATGATCATGTCACTGCATTCCAGCCTAGACAACAGAGTGAGATCCCGTCTCAAAACACACACACACACACACACACACACACACACACACACAGAATGATTAAACAGAATTAACATATGATCCAGACATTCCACTTTGGCATATATATCCAAAAGTGTTATCCCACTAATATTCACAATAGCCCACCCCTACCAAACTGAAATTTTAACACACTTGTTTGAAGCATAGCCTGAACAAGCCTAATTTTAGTCATTTCGAGTGTGCCTGCTTTGTATTCTCTGAAATTATGTCCAGTATCTGCTAGCCATTGATAAGATAACTCCAGGGGCTAAGAAAACCCCATCCCCCTGCTGTCCTTCAGAGCTTTTTTGTTTTGTTTTGTTTTTGATATGGGGTCTGGCTCTGTCACCCAGGCTGGAGTGCACAGGCAAAATCTTGGCTCACTGAAGCCTCTACTTCCCAGGTTTAAGCAATTCTCCTGCCTCAGCCTCTCAAGTAGCTGGGATTATAGCACTTGCCACCACACCCGGCCAATTTTTGTATTTTTAGTAGAGATGGAGTTTCACCAGACTTGTCCTTCAGAGCTTTTAAACTGGAAGATCATGCCGCCAGGTTGCTGAGCATCATCATTTAGTCATATAAGCCCCCATCTTTCATTCCCCTTCTCCTCTGGGAGTCTCTCTTCCTTTCCACCCTTTCTGAACAGTGACCCTCCAGTAGAAGCCTGTGGATACTCTTGCTGTTTGCTACCTCCTGTCACTGCTAACCTGTCAAAGCACATCCCAATTAAAGCTTGTGTGCTACTGCCGCCTTGTGGTCACATCTTTTTCCTTACTCAGCCAAGAAATCACTTGAACACCCTACATGTGGGTATGGTTTCATTTTTCATTTAGATCCCTAGTTCATTTGGAGTTTATTCTTGTATATGCTGTGACATATAGATTTAATTTCATCATTTCTCAGATGGTTAACCAGCTGTTTTAGACCTTCCATCAGGAATGGGATTTTTTTGCCTCATCAATCTGAAACACCACTTTTTTTTTTTTTTTTTTTGAGACGGAGGTTTGCTCTTGTTGCCCACGCTGGAGTGTGCAATGGTGTGATCTCGGTTCGCTGCAACCTCTGCCTCCCGGGTTTAAGCAATTCTCCTGCCTCAGCCTCCTGAGTAGCTGGGACTACAGGCACGTGCCACCACGCCCAGCTAATTTTTGTATTTTAGTAGAGACGGGGTTTTACCATGTTGGCCAGGATGGTGTCGATCTCTTGACCGTGTGATCCACCCACCTCGGCCTCCCAAAGTGCTGGAATTACAGGCATAAGCCACTGTGCCTGGCCTATTGCTGATAATTTTTAAACTGCCCCTCCGAGTGCAAGCCCTGGCTGGAGTGCAGTGGCACAATCATAGCTTATCGTAGCCTTGACCTCCAAGACTTAAGCGATTCTCCTACCCCAGCCTCCCAAATAGCTGGGACCACAGGCATGCAGCAGCATGCCTGGCTAATTTTTAATTTTTTTCTAGAGATGAGGTCTCACTATATTGCCCAGGCTGGTCTCAAGCAATCCTCCTGCCTTGGCCTCCCAAAGTGCTGTGATTACAGGCATGAGCCACCACACCCGGCTCAGCTGACCTACTGACCACTTTTGAAGATACCCAGTAAAACAGATTGTCCATTGTCTATAATATAATTGCCAACATTTATTGAGTGCTTACTATGTACTAGGTGCTATTCTAAGTGATTTACATATACCCAATCATTTATTTTTATTTTCATTTTATAGATGACAGAACAGAGACACCAAAAGGTGTAACCAGGGCTCACCATCATTAAATGTTAAAGCTGGGGTTTGCACTCAAGTAAACTGACCCACTATTAACCATGTGTTAGAGGCTAACACAGTGAGGCAGATGTTCCAAAAACTCTAAGAGAAGACAGAAGAGTTTCAAGGGTTATACCCTACCAAGTAAAAAGCAAAAGACTCAGCAGCAAGTTAAATTTATCTTTTTTCTGACAATGTTCTTTCAACTCTCGGAGGCTAAATTTGCTACGAAATTATAAAATATTGCTTAGGGTTAGAACTCTCTTTTCACCCCTTATAAATTAACTTTGTTCAGAATGTCCATTTGACACTTAGACTGGAATTTTCTGTGCCCTAGTTTCTATATTGTCTAGCTAGGCTACAAAAAAAAAAAAAAAAAAAAAATTCTAAGGCTCTATCAGCCATATAGAGCTCAGTCATCTTTTTAGTCATACTAGAACTCACAAAGTCCAAAGGGCTCTTGGCCGATCATCAAAATGCTAATGTGTTAGGCTTTCTATCTGGATTAAAGTAAAGTCAGCAAGAACTGGTCTCAGAGGAATTCCTTCCTCCAGAGCAGAGGCAATGTGTGAGATTTAAGAACCTGGGCCTTAACATCTGGCAGAACTTTCAATTTGAATCTCAGCTGACTACTTGACATAGAGCAAGAAACACGAGTCTCAAATATAAATCAGGGAACAACAGAACCAGAGCTGATGCACAGGAAGCACCTCGCATTGTGGAAGGCACTCAACAGCTGCTTGGTATAGAGTAAATAAATGCTTGGTTTTGAGTAAATACTTGGTATTGAAACGATTATTTCAGTCATTGATCCATGCACGAGAAAATTGTGCATCATAAACATTTTACTCCTGAGCAAACATCGATTATTAAAAACATATGTTCAAATTCATTTTCCATTCTATTTAATTAAATGCTTGAGGCACTTGGGGAGCTTACATTTGTGATTTAAGTCTGTGTGTTTTTCAAATGTATATTTCAGAAGAGATTAAGAAACTGAAATTTTAAGCAGGGCAGGGTGGCTCACACCTGTAATCCTAGCACTTTGGGAGGCTGAGGTGGGCAGATCCCTTGAGGCCAGGAGTTCAAGACCAGCCTGGGCAACAAAGTGAGACAGTGTCTCTAACAAAAAAACCATTTTTTTTTAAATTAAAAAAGTGCAATTTGAACACGTCGATATAAAATTACCCTTTAATGCAAATGTGTAGACACCTATTGTGCTAGAATTAGGCGGGGAGAAGGTGATCCCACTAATAGTATCTTGGTGTTCTGCGATCTGGCACACCCACTTCTTAAATATAGATTATTGCACTGTAATAAAATTCTCCATATTCATTGCTTTCATTGTGTGTAATTATGTAAACCGTAGACAAAAAATATTCCTGGATGTGTGTGTGTGTGTGCAGATGCGAAATCCGAGATGGTTGTTAAAGCTCGAAAGCGACCGTAGCCTCTGGACTCTCTTCTCCGAGGCCGAGGTGGACTCGCACCGTCGCCAATCGGCCAGGCAGCGGCAATGAAGAAAAACGCAGCTTTGGTGCTAGGGACCCAGGTATTCTCCGTCCCGCCCCTGACTAGCAGCCCCGCCCCTACCCCGCCCCGGACCACGCCCCACACTGGTCCCGCCCCCAAAAGTACCGGTTACGTCTCCCGTGAGCCTCTTCGACTGTCATTCTTTGGGAAAAAAAGTGACGTCTGCATTGAGGTGGCAGCTAAAATGCGAATCACGACGGGCGGTGGCCGTTGGGTCCCGGCGGGAGGCGGGGTTTCCGCTCCCTGGGGCGCACGTCAGTCAGGAGGCGGAAGCGCAGCGGGGGCGGGAAGGTTGTAGTGCTGCGAGTTGAGCTCCTTTTGCCTAAGTGGTCGCGCCCCCTTTAAGAGCAGCTACTGGGAATCGAGGCGGTCCTGGCGTCCTAGCGTCCCAGGTAAGTACGACAGCCTGGCGGCACCGGAGAACAGAAAAGTGTGGCCCCGGTGCAGACCTGCCGCCGCTGTCTTTGTTGCTACAGGCAGCGGCCTCTCCTCCGACCTTGCCACCCAGCATTTCTCGCTCTTACTTGCTTCCTTCGTCTCGTTCACAGCCCAGGCTCAGCCGGCCTTGCACGCCCGCGGGCAGGGACCTTTCTGGCACGCCTGTCTAGCCCTGTCACAAGATGGCCCTATTGTCCTCCAGTCCTAACCCGGCATTGCTCGCTCTGTGCTTCAGCCGTAGGAGACATCTAACGATTCATTTATTAAAAACCAGTGTCTGTTTTCTATCCCTTGTGTCTTTCCCGGGCTCTCTAGACTAAGGCATCACCCTTTGCTCCCAATGGAATCAATTATTTGCCTCCAGCACTGTGCCCACCTTTTAAAGAGAGCGTTTGTTTAAGCTCTTTTAAAAATTATTAATAGTATGGATGGTTGAATAAGACTTTATTTTTCCATCAGGTTATATGTTCCTTGAGAGCAGGAGAGGGTCTTGCTCACCTTGGATCTCCCCAGGATTTAGTATGAAAGCACGAAGTTTGGAAACCAGCAGCCCAAAGAATTCTTATTAGCTTTATGACCCTGGGGATGGTCTTCTCATCTATAAAATGGTGATAAATAAATAAAGGAACTAATTTCGAGCATCTTACATAGTGTATGGTGCAGAGCAGGTACAGTACAGTACTACTTTTCCTTTTTTAGCTTTCAGTATACACAGTAGTTGCTGGGTATGTGTTTTAGACGAATGAAGAGGCACCATAGATGAATGATTTTTCTTCCCAGCACCATGATTGTGTTGACTCTATCAATTGGTTGATATATTTGGTAAATACAACTTAATGCTAAATGATATGAACATCTGCAAGAATAAACAATGCAGTATTAAATGCTTGAGGCACTAGCAGAGTTTAAATTTGTGATTTCAGTCCGTGTACATTTCAAATGTATCTTTCTGAGGAGATTACAACATTGCATTGTAACAAGGCTAGCTGTTCCTTTTAGTCTGTGATTAAAATATGGTACATTGTATATGTGTGTACACATATTTTACAGATGATTGTGAAGTGCTGACCAACTGCCACTGGACATAATTGAAACAAAATAGGAAAATGGCAGCAAACTCTTCAGGACAAGGTAATGAGTGGGAATTTCTTTCATTACTAGGAACATCCCCCTGCCCACCACCGTTCCCCCGCCCCCATAGTAAATGTATTTGAATAAGATAAAATTTAGCATAGGGTAGTTACTGTAGCCAGAATTTAAAAAATGAATAGCAGGCGGGGAGCAGTGGCTCACACCTGTGATCTCAGTACTTTGGGAGGCTGAGGTGGATGGATTGCTTGAGATCAGAAGTTTGAGACCAGCCTGGCCAACACGGTGAAACCCTGTTTCTTGTAAAATATAAAAATTAGCTGGGTATGGTGATGGGTGCCAGTAATCCCAGCTACTAGGGAGGCTAAGGCAGGAGAATTTCTTGAACCCAGGAGGCAGAGGTTGCAGTGAGGTGAGATTGCACCACTGCATTCTAGCCTGGGCAACCGAGTGAGACTCCATCTCAGAAAAAAAAAAAAAAGAATAGCAAAGTAAAACTCTAAATCTGAAATACACTTATGTGCTGAATAATGATGTTTACATCAATGACAGACTGCTTATAGGATGGTGGTTCCATAAGATTATAATGGAGCTGAAAAATTTCAATCACCTGGTGACATCTTGATAATCCTGAGCTTAATTTTTTAAGTTAAAACAATTTTTAAGAATAGAAAAAAAAACTTATAGAATAAGGCTATAAAGAAAATACTTTTTTTTGTAGAGACAGATTCTTATTCTGTTTTCTAGGCTAGAGTGCAATGGTGCGATCTTGGCTCATTGCAACCTCCGCCTCCCGGGTTCAAGGAATTCTCCTGCCTCAGCCTCCAGAGTAGCTGGGACCACAGACGCATGCGCCACACCTGGCTAATTTCTTTTGTATTTTAGTAGAGACAGGGTTTCGCTGTGTTGCCCAAGCTGGTCTCGAACTCCTGAGCTCAGGCAATCGCCTGCCTTGGCCTCCCAAAGTGCTAGGATTACAGGTGTGAGCCACCACGCCCAACAAAGAAAATACTTTTTTACAGCTGTACAGTGTTTTGTGTTTTAAGCTAAGCGTTATTACAAAAGTCAAAAAGTTAAAATGTAAAAGTTTCTCAAATAAAGTTATAGTAAGCTAAGGTTAATGTATTATTGAAGAAAGAAAAATTTAATAAATTTAGTGGAGCCTAAGTGTAAAGTGTTTATAAGTATACAGTACTGTATGGTAATGTCCTAGATTTTCACATTCACTCGCCACTCATTCACTGACTCACCCAGAGCGACTTCAGTCCTGAAAGTTTTATGCATGGTAAATGCCCTATACAGGTATACCCTTGCTTTTAAACTGTATGTGTGTGTCTGTGTGTACTTGAAGATCCCAATTGGCTCTGTGATTCTAGAATCAGGTAACACTTCATTTTATAAAATAGAATAAGTGTTCCCTAAACTACACACACACACACACACACACACACACACACACATTTTTAACGGAGTTTTCGCTCTTGTTGCCCAGGCTGGAGTGCAATGGCGTGATCTCGGCTCACTGCAACCTCTGCATCCCGGGTTCAAGCGATTCTCCTGCCTCAGCCTCCCAAGTAGCTGGGATTACAGGCATGTACCACCATACCCAGCTAATTTTTGTATTTTTGGTAGAGATGGGGTTTCTCCATGTTGGTCAGGCTGATCTCAAACTCCTGACCTCAGGTGATCTGCTTGTCTCAGCCTCCCAAAGTGCTGCAATTAAAGGCATTAGCCACCATGCCCAACCTGAATCTGCATTTTACACGTGAAAGGAGGGGGTAAAGGAATAGTTAATTATGCATATTTTAACCATATTTTACTGTACCTTTTTGATGTTTAGGTACACAAATATTTAGCATTATATTACAGTTACCTACACTATTCAGTACAATAACATGCTGTACATGTGTGTAGCCTTGGAACAATAGACTGTACTGTACAGCCTAGGTGTGTGGTAGGCTAAACCATCTGGGTTTGTGTAAGTATACTCTGATGTTTACACAACACAAAATCACCTAACATTGAATTTATCAGAATGTATCCCTGTTGTTAAGCAACATATGATGGTAGATCTGACATTGGATCAGATATACAACATCCTTTATGTTATTAATCCTATATTTTAATCTCTGTTAAGATTATTTATGTTGAAATTGTGTTCACATTATTCACCTTATGGCCTCTTCTGACATCTATATTCTCTTGTTCTTTTACTTGAAATCAGAACCACTTTTAAAGAAGTTTTATTTTCATCATGCATTATCCATGCCTTTATCTTCATTGCTGTAAAAACTTTTGTACACATTTCACCTGTGTTAAGATATCTCCAAAACAAATCAAGGTAGACACATTTGTTACTTTTAAGGAGTTTTCATTTTTAAAACATTTATAAAAGTAAAATTTACTCTCTATGTGGTATTGAATCACACTTGGCAAGTAGTTTCCTGCTTAACTACTTGAAGCAAGCCTCTATTGCCATTCTGTATCAAGTCTGAAGTTCTGTTTGACTCTATGTATGTTTGACCCATCTTTATATTTTTTAAGTACTCATTTTTTAAATCTTTTTTTTTTTTTAATCTTAAACTTATGGACTCTTAAAGTGTATATTCATTTGGTCCAGCTTCTTTATTTTTTTTTTTGAGACAGAGTTTCGCTCTTGTTGCCCAGGCTGGAGTGCAATGGCACGATCTTGGCTCACCACAACTTCTGTCTCCCAGGTTCAAGCGATTCTCCTGCCTCAGCCTCCCGAGCAGCTGGGATTACAGGTGTGTGCCACCACGCCCAGCTAATTTTTTGCATTTTTAGTAGAAACGGGGTTTCACCATGTTAGCCAGGCTGGTCTTGAAGTCCTGACCTCAGGTGATCCATGATTTGCCTACCTTGGCCTCCCAAAGTGCTGGGATTACAGGTGTGAGCCACCGTTCCTGGCCACAGATACTTTTTTTTTTAAGAGACAGGGTCTTTTCTGTTGCCCAGGCTGGAGCTCTGAGGTGGATGATAGCTCCCTGCAGCCTCAAACACCTGGGCTCAAGCAATCCTCCTGCCCCTACCTTCCAGATTTCTGGGACTGCACACATGTATCACCATGCCTGGCTTTTTTTTTTTTTTTTTTTTTAGAGAGGGTCTTGCTTTGTTGTTTGGGCTGGTCTTGAACTCCTGGCCTCAAGCAGTCCTCCCACCTCAGCCTCCCAAAATGTTGGGATTACAGGCATGAGCCACTATCCTAGGCCAGTTGTGCCATTTTGTTATTTTAGTATATGTCCTGCCAAAGTGAGCTCTGGTTGTACTGTTTTATTCTCTCCAGCAATATGTGAATGTCTGGTTGGTTCACATTTACTGTTGTCAGTCTTTAATTTAGCCATTCTAGAATGTATGAAGTGACATCTCATTGTAGTATTAAAATGCATTTCCTTGATGACAAATGCTGAGCCCTTTCTTTGTACTTATTGGCCAATGTAAATCTTCCTTTATGAAGTGTTTGTTTTAATCTTTTACTCATTTTTTTAAAAAATTGGGTTATTTCTTTTGATTAGCAAGTTGTTTTGCTTTCATTTTTCAGTCTGGAGACAAGTCCTTTGTCAGATATGTTTTGTAAATATTTCCTCCCAGTCTCACTTGCCTTTTCATTTTCTTAATGGTGTTTTTTTAATCCTATATGTAATGTATTATTTTTCTCTGGCTGCTTTTAAGATTTTCTCTTTGTATGCCAGTGGTCTGACTATGGTATGCCTAGAGGTAGTAGTTTTCTTGTTTGGGGTTTGTTGAGCTTTTCAGATCTGTAGGTTGATGTCTTTCACTAAATTTGGGATGTTTTCATTCATATTCAAATACTCCAAGGCTTTGCTTATTTTTCCACAATACTTTTTTCTCTGTTTTTCAGATTGGATAATTTCTAATGCTCTAACTTTAATAACTGTTCTGCCATCTTCAATCTGCTGTTAATTCAATCCAGTGAACATTTTGTTTCAATTTACTTTTTAGCTGTACAATTTCCATTTTTTTCCCATCATTCATATTTCTTAGCTAAAACACCCCTTTTATTTATTAAGTGTCCTTTTTCCCTTAAGTCCTTGAACATATTTATAATGGCTGATTTTAAATCCTTGACTGCTAATTATATCATTGGGGTCATCTTGGAGTTGACAGCATTTTGGTGCATATGCCTCATGTTTTCCTTTTTCTTCCTGTAACTCGTGATTTGTTATTGGGTACTGGACATTGTGGAAACTCTGGATTCTTTTATATTCTTCTGAAATGTGATTTTTGTTCCAGCAGACAGCTTGGCTCAACTCACACTGGACTCCACACTCTTCTCTCTCCTGTGTTGGGCAGCAGCTGAAATCCCGCAGTATTTTTCAGCTTCCACCTGCTGCTCTATTGATGGGCTGCCTGGGATCTCCCCTGTGTATGTGTAGTTCAGCAGTGAGAGAAAACTTTGAGTGGATTTTATATGCATGAATTGGGCTTTATTCCTTCTGCCTTTCCTCAAGCCTTGCCCCTGATTTTTTGGCTACTCTGTCAGCCCTAAACTTGAGTTGTCCTCTGACACCTCCAGCTAGTAAGGTGACACTAACCATGCTGTTAGAGGATTGGGGAATGCTTCAGGCAAAAGGCCACAAGTTCCCAAATCTCACCAGTTGCAGTTTCTGCCTGATTTCGGTCAGACTGCAGTGCCTTTAAATAGTGAATTTTTTTTTTTTTTTTTTTTTTTTTTT